GCCCTAACGCTGATTTCTGTGTGCCAGACCGGTTCCCCCAGATCATCCAGCTGGCCTCAGAGCTGGAGTTCAACCTGGGCTCAGAGCCCATCGTCAGCTGCGTGGCCACTGGCAACCCACTGCCCACCAGTGACAGCGTGGAGCTGCGCAAGGCTGACGGCACCGTGCTCAAGGTACCACCCACCTCCATCTCCACAGTGCCAGCTCCCCCAAAATCTCCTCTGTCCCCCAGGGGCTGCTGGACAGCTTCAGGCTGACACTGGGGCTGACCCAGGGGGCTGGGCAGGGGGGCTGACAGCACCCTCGGTGCCCACAGCTCATCAAGGCCATCATCGAGCCGGGACAGATCACCTGCGAGTTCCAGGTGCGGCACCTGAGGAAGGAGGACACGGGGCTCTGGGAATGCCGGGTCTCCACAACCGGGGGCCAGGACAGCCGGAAGGTCAAGGTCAACATCCGAGGTGAGGAAAGGGTGGTGGCAACAAGCAGGATAAGCCAGGGTTGCTGGGGGAGGCTGACAGCACGGTGTGGCAACACCAAACCCCCTGCACTGGACTGGGTGCTTCCCATCATATGCTGCAGTGCCAGCAGACAGGTTTGGGTGGTTATAAAAGGCTTTCCTGACAAAGCTGGAAGGAGTCCAGAGGTGGCAGATGTCTCCACAGTCTGCTCCTCGTTGCTCCCAGTCTCTCCAGTGTCAGTCCTTCCTTCCCCCCGCAGTGCCACCAGTGCCCCTGAGCCCCCCCCGGCTGCTGGCCAAGCAGAGCCGCCAGCTCGTGGTGTCACCCGTGGACTACTTTTCTGGTGACGGACCCATCACCTCCATTAAGCTGTTCTACAAGCCCAAGGATGACAACTCAGCATGGTCATCCATTGTGGGTATGTGTCTGCAGGGCTGGGGGGACACAGGCAGGACCTGTGTGGGAGGTGATGGCTGCCCCAGCCACTGGAGGCCTGGGGTGGGAAGAGGTCTCCACACCAGGCCCCCTGTAGTGATGCTGAGGAGAATGCCAGTGGTAGGGCAGACTGTGGGTCATGGGTGTGGTTTTGATGTGTCCTCTTGGCCAACAGTCGACAACAGCGAGAACATCACCCTCATGAACCTCCGGCCGGTGACTGCCTACATTGTCAGGGTGCAGCTGAGCCGGCCAGGGGCTGGTGGGGAGGGCAGCAAGGGACCTGAAGCCATCATGGTGACTGAGTGCCTTGGTGAGCCTCCATCTCCCTGACCCTGACCCTGACCCTTGCACAGCACAGAGCCTGCAGTCCAAGAGCTGATGTGCCGTGAGGTTTTGCGTTTCTGTTTGCAGAGCCCACGGTCAAGCCTGTGATCGAAGGCTGGTCCATAGAAGAGAAGAACACGCTTCACGTCAACTGGAAGTTGCCAAGTAACCACGAGCCAGCACATGGCTTCATAGTCCACCTCTTCGACTCTGCGAGGCGGCTGGTCTCCGAGAAAAACATCACGTCCATCTCTGTGCTCTCAGCCCGCATTGGAGACCTGGAGTTCAACAAGGAGTATGGGCTGGAGGTGCTGGTGTACCACTGCACCAGCCTGGGGCCGCCCTCTGACCCCTATAAGGTCATGATCAACAGCAAAGGTGGGTCCAGTGGAACACAGGGAATTATTACAGGGAATTACAGAGGTAAATTACTTATAATCGTAGCAGCAACCATCCCCAGGTCTGGCTGCTCCTGTATTCCATCTCTGATAAAACACGAACAGCTCCTTTCCTTGCTAGACCCTTGCAGCCTCCAGCAGCAAGCAGCCCAGAAGCATCCCAAGCTGAACATCACATTCAGGCCATCGCAAGTGACGCTCCCAAACAGATCTGTCCTCTGCACCCTTGCCCAAATCCTGAAGGACCTGTCTATACTTGCAGCCTTCACAACACCCCGTAGCAACACAAGTCCCTCGATATAATTATCCTTTGCATGAAAAAAAAATATTTCCCTTTGGTTCACTTTAACCCTGCTGCCAGGTAGTTTTGCTGGGTGGTCCCTGGGGCCTGGGGAGCCCTGCAGTCCCACTTGTGGGCACACACACACATCCACACAGCCCCCCACGTTGGTGGGAGACTCTGGGAAGGTGGAGCATCAGCCTGACCAAGATCTCTGGTGACCAGGGGAGAAGGCATGCAGGGGGCCTTTGGTGAGGCTTGGCACCGGCTGGTACACGTTGAGAGGACTGGTAGGCGTCAGGCTTGAGGGATGTGAGATTTCCTCTGCTCCCTGTTTGTAAGAGCTTTGTATGATTTGGGGATTTGGGGTTAGGGGTGTGAACAAGCAAGAGAAGACTCAGAGGAGGTGGTGGGAAGGCAGAGTATGAGGGAGGGATGAACTAAAAAACCATCACAAGGGCTAGTCGATACAGAGGCATGTAGCTTGATGGTCTCTGAAGCTGGGAGCATTTGGAAGTGCAGTCCTGCTCCACTGTTGTTCCTGGGGAGCAGTTCCACCTCCTCCAAGCAGGGGTTAAGGGTCCCTGGAGGTCCCTCAAACCTGGCCCAGCTTTGGTTGCCATTGCCATCCACAGGGTCCTCACAGCAGCGCCAGGAGACCTGTCCTGGGCCTGACTCTCTGCTCTCCCTGTCCCAGGGCCCTCTGCCCCACGGTTGCTCTCGGCAGAGTCCGTGTCCGACGCCGCTGTCAGGCTGTCCTGGCAGGTCCCTGAGTACCCCAACGGGGGCATCACCAAGTACATCGTGGAGCTGCAGCAGGTGGGGGGCACCGGCGAACCCCAGTGGATCGACACCGACAGCGGCGCCGAAACCACCAAGGTCATTGGGGGCCTCAACGCCAGCACCAGCTACCAGTTCCGTGTCCGTGCCAACTCCCACGTCCCGGGGGAATGGAGCCAGCCCGTGAAAGCCAAGACCCTGGGAGATGGTGAGAGGAGTGTCCCAGCAGGCAGGAGGCTCACAGCTCTGCTGCAGCTGGGGCTCAGAATCTGGGCCAGCAAAGAACGATTGAGATGCTTGCGGTGACCTCTCAGAGTGGCTCTGAAGCAGCAGACCGAGCCCAAAACTCTCGTGGGTGTCCAGAAAACCTGTTCCTCCTAGTCCTGGTGGGACAGGGGCAGCATGGTGACAGCATGGCACCCACAGGGTGGCTCTGCCCTGGCCAGAGGGTGATGTGGAGCAAGGGGCTAGAGGAGCAGAGCAGACCTGGATGGGAGGAGGTGGTGGCTGGGTCCAAAGCTGGTTGAAGGTGCAGAAATCAGTGGTTCAGAGGCAGGGCTCGGGCAGTGACACCCTCTCCCCTGTGCCACTGTGGCAGCAGGGGCTCAGGATGCGATTGTGGTATCTTCATGGCGTGGCTGGGTGTTGGAAGATGTCTGCTTTGGTGCTTGGCCACTCGTGCAGGCTGGGCAGGGCTCGACCCGGGACCACAACCCTCCATCCCTCCTTTTGGCAGGAGCGCTGAGCGTGCCGCCCAGCCTGGGCAGCCAGAGCACTGAGCAGGCAGGAATAGACCAGCAGCTGCTCTTGGCCATCGTTGGCTCCGTGTCTGTCACCTGCCTCACCATCCTCTTTGCTCTCCTGGCTCTTTTCCTCATCAAGAAGAATTTTTTCCACCGGCGCCGCACCTTTACGTACCAGTCTGGCTCGGTGAGTGCCGCCTGCCCCGCCAGGACCGTGTCCCCCGCTCCCCACGTCCCAGCCCAGCCCAGGTCACGCTCCGTAGCCTCCAGTCCGGATGCAGCCAGACCTCACTTCCACACTGAGAGGGTGCGGAGCCCACCCTTGCCCAGCACTCCTGCCCTGCCGGGACTGCCGCGTGGGCAGAGGGGTGCCCGGGGCCTCTAACCTCACCCACTCCCCTCTGCCAGGGGGAAGAGACCATCCTGCAGTTCAACTCGGGGACACTGACCCTGACACGCCGGCCCAAGCCGCAGCCTGAGCCGCTCAGCTACCCCATCCTGGAGTGGGAAGACATCAAGTTTGAGGACATGATCGGAGAGGGCAACTTTGGGCAGGTCATCAGGGCCATGATCAAAAAGGATGGCCTGAAAATGAACGCAGCCATCAAGATGCTGAAAGGTGAGTGTCAGGGGAGACGAGCAGGACAGGCTGAGGGATGCAGGTGCGTCCTGGGCCATATTCATGCTGAGTAGAGTCAGGAGTCACTTGCAGAGAAGCAGAGGAAGGGTGCTTGTTGCAGGCCTGAGGTGTCTGTCCCTTCTTTGCTTCCAGAGTTTGCTTCAGAGAATGACCATCGGGACTTTGCTGGGGAGCTGGAGGTGCTGTGCAAACTGGGCCACCACCCCAACATCATCAACTTGCTGGGTGCCTGCGAGAACAAGGGTGAGGGCTGTCCCCCTCTCCCCAGCCCCACGGCCTCTGCCCAAGCTCTGTATTCCTCTTTTCTGAGGAGAGCCCCAGTAGCCCAACCTCCTTCTGCCCCTCAGGCTACCTGTACATCGCCATTGAGTACGCCCCCTACGGAAACCTCCTCGACTTCCTCCGCAAAAGCCGAGTCTTGGAGACAGACCCAGCCTTTGCCAAGGAGCACGGCACTGCCTCCACACTCACCTCCCAGCAGCTCCTCCAGTTTGCTTCAGATGTGGCCAAGGGGATGCAGTACCTGAGCGAGAAGCAGGTACATCCCCAGCAAGCCCTTCAGAGCATCCTTCCCCTGCCCCCGGGGGGGGGGCTCCCCATCAGGGTGTGAGGTCCCTGGGGCCAGCAGGAGGGAGCATGTGGCTCCTGGCTGACTGCTGGCCCCTTTCAGTTCATTCACAGGGACTTGGCAGCGAGAAACATCCTGGTGGGAGAAAACCTGGCCTCCAAGATTGCTGACTTTGGCCTCTCTAGAGGGGAGGAAGTCTATGTGAAGAAGACAATGGTGAGGCAGGAGTGAAGCATCTCCATGGGGTCTGCACCATGGTATGGTGGGCAGGACACCCACCACCAGTGTGAAGGACCTACCCTTCTGGGACCAGCTGCCCTCCATCTACAGGGCATCCCCCCACCCCTGACAGTCTTCCTCTGCTTCCCCAGGGCCGTCTGCCAGTTCGCTGGATGGCCATCGAGTCCCTGAACTACAGCGTGTACACCACCAAGAGCGACGTGTAAGTCCTGCGGGCGGGAGCACCGGGGCTGGGCTGTGGCTGGGGCTCCTCCTTCCCTCCCTGGCACATTTAACCTGGCAGTGCTATTGCTCTGGGTGCTGAAAGGGCAGGAGGTGATGCTGATGCATCTCCCTGGGGAGCTGCTGGCTCAGCCCAAGCCCTGGCTGTCCCTTCCACCCTGGGCTTTGCCCTGTGCCCATCCGTGGGGCTCAACTGCGCACTGTCACAGCCTCATCTGCCCTTTCAGGTGGTCATTCGGCGTCCTGCTCTGGGAGATCGTCAGCTTGGGTAAGACTTCTCTCTGTCCCCCTGCCTCCACTCGGGTCCCTGTAGGTCTGGTCCTCCTGGAGCCCTGGAGGGGACACCCTGGGGACCGTCCCCACCTCATCTGTGTGTCTCTGGCTGCAGGGGGGACACCGTACTGCGGGATGACATGTGCCGAGCTCTACGAGAAGCTGCCCCAGGGCTACCGCATGGAGAAGCCGCGTAACTGCGACGACGAGGTGTAAGTGGGCAAAGCCTCAGCTGATGGTGGCACCCACGTCCCCCTGACCCCCCTGCCCCCCGGGGCTCCCGCCGCCTTGCAGTAGCTTCTGCCTGGTTCCCTCTGAATTGTGTGGTGAGCTGGGGGCTCACATCCCAAAAGCCCTTCCCAGGCTTTAGTGTTCCGCCTGCTTCCCCCCATCTCCCACAGAGAGCTTTTCTTTCCCCTCTGCCCCTGGGCACACTGAGCCACCCACAACTCTCTGCCCCCAGGTACGAGCTGATGCGGCAGTGCTGGCGCGACCGCCCCTACGAGCGCCCACCCTTCGCCCAGATCTCCATGCAGCTCATCCGCATGCTGGAGGCCAGGAAGGTGAGTGGTGGCAGATGCTCATCCTGTTCCAGGGCTGTCCACATGCTGGAGCATGCCTTGGGCTTGAGGAGGGGTCAGCCAGCAGCAGAACCTGTGTGACCCCCACCACGCGTGGTGGTAACCCCAGCATCGCTTTTTGGGTGTGGGGAGCCCTCTTGCCTTCCCCCTCAGGGCACAGTGCCTGTGAGTGTGCCAGTGGGGACGGGAGGTAGGTGGGGGCGGTGTCACAAATGGCTCCTAACTGGTGTTCCCCCACAGGCCTACGTGAACATGGCCCTGTTTGAGAACTTCACCTATGCGGGGATCGATGCCACGGCTGAGGAGGCGTGAGGCTGCGCTGGCACCGTGCAGAGGGGTGATGCTGGCACCAGCCTGCAGGGACAGTGCTGTGGGGACAATGGGCTGCTCATCCCCCTCCAGGGCCAAGTGGCCAAATGCTGGTGCCCCTTCCAAGAGCACCTTCCCTGCAGCAGGACTCTGCCATCCCCTCCTCCCTGGCTGCCCACGCAGCATGTGCTGGCCACACTGCCGTGGCATCAGGCACCGACACAGCCCCACGCTGCTGGGGGACACGCTGTGGTGGCCCCCAAGGACAAGCAGCAGCACGGTGCTTGCAGCAGAGTGGGCAGGAGAGGGGCTCTCAGGAGCCTGAGCCCATGGACACAAATGCTCAAGCTCTGAGGCAAGAGGGGGAAGCAGCAACCCAGCATCTGCCCACCCTGCAACTCTCAGTGTGCTCTGGGCCTAAAGTGGTGCCAGCAGGGCTGTGAGCATTACTGACGGCGTGGGATGGGGCCACCCTGGTGGGTGCAAAGGGATGGCTTTGGCTGTGCACAGCCTCCAGCTCTGCAGTGACCCTTTGGAGGTGTCAGCTCTGCCTTACAGACAATAAACATCATGCAACGGGCAGCTGGATCCAGGGGAGTGGTGGTGAGCTCTGCCCTGCTGACAACACTGTGGAACAGGATACGGGGCCCCAGTGGTCTGCTGCTGTGGTGGGCACTCCTCGGAAACCTGTCCCCCCTGGAGTCCTCTGATGATGCCCAGGAAAGGCCATGATCTCATCATGCCATGGAGATGGGTTTTCTTATGATCCAGCGGAGATCTTCACTCCCATACACAATTTAAGATTTGGTCCTGTCCCGAGGGATATGGAGAACAGACTGTGTCCTTCCTTTGCGCAGCTGCCTCTTGCATGCTTGGAAATTGTTCCTGCAGTTTCCCCTTGGTTGGCCGCTCCTCACAGGGGGTGGCCCCGCTCCTCTGGCTGGCCCCACTGGGGCTGTGCAGCTCCACAGCCTTCCTACCCTGCCCAGCACTGCGCTGAGCAATCAGTGACTTCCCATGTCTTGAAAGGGCCCGCTGTGTTGGACCAGCCTGTCACAACACGGGGTGATTGTCGTGGATCAGCCGGGCTCTGCACTGACCCTCCCACGGGAGTGCCTGTCCCAGGCTGTGGTCCCTCAGCTGCACTGCTGCTGTTTGTTACACTGACACTGGGTGGGCTTCACCTCTCTTGGCTTCAGCTTGCTCAGCCCTGGGCATGCCATCCAGCTGCCCCACTGTCTGTCCTCTGCAGTCCTGTGAGAAGCAAGAGTGGCTCCTGCAGTGCACAGTGACCCAGCCAGAGGCAGGAGCATTTGCATTTGCCCTTCTGGGCAAGAGTCTTTTATCCCCAGAAGGTCTTTGAACCCTGTCAACACCGTTCTGATGATTTTCCATTCTGGCCTCCTGTGCTCTTTGGTGTCAAATGCAGCTGTTAGTGAACAGCCTCTCTGCCCCATCCCTGAGGTCCCCAGTGAAGCAGTGATGGGGACTGGGCCCTCACAGCCAGCCTGACAAGTGCCACTGCCCCTGCGCCTCCTCTGCTCCCCGCTGGGCATGCTGTCTGAGGCAGTGTCACTAGTCCTGCTTGCACCAAGGTCCTTCTGCTTGTTGCCTCCCTGATGGCACAGCCCCGCACCCAGATGGAAAAGGAAGTGGGGCTGATTTGGCAAAATTTGGCTGTGGCAGATTGGTGCTGGCTGCTCAGTGGCTTCTTGTGCCCTGGATGGTGCCCCACAGGCTGTGCTACTGTGCTGTGCCCTGGCAGAGTGGGAGACCCTCTGACCACCCGTGCCAGGCAGCAGTGGTGGATTGGATCCTGAGCGTGGCTGCAGGACCCCCCCAGGGTGGCTCTGCCTCTGCACCAGCACCACCAGCAACTGTGTGGGCTCTGCCAGTCCCCCCGTGCCTGCAGCTCTCCTCCCGGCACAGCCACAGGGACGATGCCAGGGGCAGAGCAGACCCAGGGCACAGCGGTGCCAGGTGGCACAGGACAGGATGGAGCCAGAGCAGTGACCCTTCGGAGGGTCCCACATGGCAGCAGCCCCCGACAGCCTGCCCTGCCCCACACGGGGGCCTCCCTGGTTTCTCCGGGGTTGTTTTTCTTCCTACCCCAGCCTCCCGGCCACAAGGGCAGGACATGCCCCTATCTGATAGGAGCAGTCTCCCTTGGCACTGCGGCTGGCGGCACAGGGGCTGCGGCGTGGTGGTTTCAGGCACAGGGAAGTGCTGGCGATGAGGTGGGGGGAGCCCCCCAGCCAGGCTTCCTGAGCTGCACAGCCACCACTTCCCAGATAAAAAAGTACTGCCTGGAGGAGCCACGGCAGCTCCCCGGGCGCTGGGAAGGGCCGAGAACGGCACGTGTGGCCCCCGGCACAGGGGTTGCAGGATGGCAGCTTGCCTGTGCTGGGGCTGGCTGCTCTCGCTGATCCCGGCCATCCTGCTCAGCCTCCGCAGCCCACCGTCAGCGCCCGAGCCAGTGACATCCCAAGGTAGGTCCTTGGGGATATCTCCTCCCCCTAAGGATGGGCTAGAGAAGAGCTGGCATGTCAGGTGCCGGCAGTGAGCACCTCACAGCAGCCAAAATCTGTGGGATTGGGAAGGGGCATCCCAAGGGGGGTGTGGGGGGGGTGTTCGGGGTGGGCAGTGGAGTGCCCTTCTCACCTGTGGGACACCCTGAGGTGCTTGGAGTAAAGGAACATCCCTGCTCTCTGCAAGCAGGATTTGGCAGCCCTAGAGCCTCTTGGGGATGTCAGGCTGGTGCTCCCAGTCCTGCACAGGCAGCAGAGGGGCTCCCTGCTCATCAGATGTTCTTGGAGTTTTGATATGATGAGGGTTTGAGGGAAATTCAAGTTAACATCTCATGGTTCAGCCCTGCACCACGAGTAATGCAGTGGCACTGCCAGGCTAATCCCAGTGCTCTCACACCAGCCTTGCCAGGATCTCGCCCTGCCAAGCATCCTCCACCTGGCCCCAGCCTGGCTGACTGCACCTGGCAGAGCCACTTCATGACTTGGTCACATTTCAGGGCTGGTCATGCTTTCTTTGAGCTCCTCTTTAGCCCCCTTAACACCCTCTGTAGCACCATTAAGAAGCATTAACTGAACAAAATCCTGTTGATCTCCTGCTCATCTCTCCAGACCCACCCCGAGTGTCTGGTCAGGGTGGGCTTCAGAGCACATTTGGAGTCACCCCCATAGGGACAGTGGGAGGAGGGTCAGGGTTGGGCTCATCCTCTCTGCCCCCAGGCTCTGTGACATCGCTGTGCCCTGAGCACTGCCCAAGCACGGCTGGGGTGGGCTGCAGAGCTGGGTGGCCACTATGCTCAGGACATGGCCTATCTGCAGCAAAGATGCTCTGGTAGCCCACAGGGCCAGTGTTGGCCTCCCATCAGTGCCATGGGTCCCTGTGCCACTCAGCTGCTGAGACCTGGCCACCTTATCCCCTGGTGCTCCGAGCTGGGGGGAACCTGGAGCCAGCATGAGGCCTGGGGTGGGAAATGGGTGGGAAATGGTGGGCAAACAGGGAAGAACAGATGGGGAGGGTGGCTGTGGGGGAGATGGGACAATGGGAGAGGGGGAGGAAGGCAACACAAGGCTGGGAAATGAGGAACAGGGCTGAGGGAGTGAGAACAAGACCAGGGACAGGGAGAGCAGAAGGACACCAAGAAGGTGGCAGGGACATTTGGGGGCTGTCACTTATTCTTGGCCCAGGGTGGGCTCAACTGGCAGCGTAGAGGGTGCACAGCAGAGAACAGATACTCTCAGCACATGGAACAGAGCCAGGCACTGGCAGGGGGCTTGTTGGGTCAGCTCCTGGGGAAGGCAGTACATGCCAGAAGGAAGAAGAGGAGGAAGAGGGCTTGGACAGGTCTCAGGGCAGAGGCAGAGGGGGAGAAGGGAGTGCTGGAGCAGTTCTGTGGGTAGCAAGACCACCCCTGTGCATCACACATCTGCATCTGGGGGCTGTCTCCTTTTCCATGACAACAGGGGCAGGTACCCATGTGACAGCAAAGCCACCAGTGCTTGGGACAGAAATCCTGCGGGATGCAGAGAAATCCCCAGCCCCTAGCAGTCCCTGGGCTGGGGTTTGGGCATCCCCCCCTGCTCAGGACCACACATCCCCATGCCAGCCCCGAGGCCCTTTCCCTCTCCCTGCTCCTCCTTATCTCACTTCCGCGCACCTTCCGGCACGAGCAGGGCAGGGGTGCTTCCCCCTGATCGCCGGGCCCTGAGCCCCCCTCCGACCGCAGGGCTATTTCGGGATGTTTGTTTGTCCTGAAGGACCCCCCGTACTGAGGAGAGGGGGGGGGGGGAGGGGCGGGGAAGCCCTGCCAAGGCCAGGACCCCAGGCCAGCCAGCAGCCAGCACGAGTGCCGTGTCCCTCCCCACCGTGCCAAGCTAGGGGGGCACCTGTGCCAGGGCCATGCCCAGGCTGCCCCGGGTGCCGACACAGCCTGGCCTCAGGGGCGAGCTGGCCAGGGGGCATGGGGCAGGAGGGTGGAGGTGGGATGGGGATGGGTTTGTGCCCAGGGGCTCCTTCATGCCCACACTCCTCCCAGACGCTGCACTGCTGGCAGGGGTGTCCGAGGACATCCTCTGTTTCTCCCGCTCCTTCGAGGACCTCACCTGCTTCTGGGACGAGGAGGAGGAGGCAACGAGTGGGATGTGCCACTTTTACTACTGGTACAGCAGGTAGGAGGTGGTGGGGACACAGCCCAGCCTCCCCCTTGCCTGCACGGAGAACAGCAGGGTCGGGGTGCCACAGCAATCTGTGCCATCCCAGTGGCTCCCAGCTGCAAGGAGAGATGATGGAGAGCCCACGGGAGCTACACAGCAGCCACTGCACACCCTGCAGCAGGGCTGTCCCTCGGTGCCATGGGGACGGTGTCCTGCAGTGGGTGGTGGCACAGGAAAGGAGCCGGTGACACTGAGGTCTCTCGGTGCTGTGCCCCACATCCCCTTTCCTCCAGATTGGCCCGAGGCAGGAGGCATATGAGTTGCTGCAAGACCCCGCTCTCCATTCCTCAGGGACATGCCCACGGCGTGCATGGTCTCTGCGTGGCACCGAGGGGCTGGTGGGAAGCGGCATGTCTGCGTCTTCCCCAGCCAGGACGTGCGGCTCTTCACCCAGCTCCACCTCCGCGTCCTGGATGCCGCCACAAACCACACAAAATACTGGCGGGAGCTCAGCGTGGACGCGGTGGGTGAGTCCCTCTTGCCGGGTAACACCCTGTGCCACCAGGACAGCCCCCAGCCCTTCTGCTGGCCACGGGGGCTGACAACACCCTGTGCCTCGCGTGCTGGGCACAGAGACAGCCCGGGGGGGACCAGGGGTTGCCCAGGTAGGGGCTGCAGCAGGAGGGCAAACATGCTGGCACGTCCCCCGCAGGTCTCATCGCCCCTCCAGTGAACATCTCGGCCCGCTGGGCTGGGGCTGCGGGACAGCTCTGCGTGTCGTGGCAGCCGCCGCTCGCCGACTACCCGAACTTCTTCCTCTACGAGGTGCAGTGCTGCCCTGCCAGCTCCCCGGGGATGCCCTGCAGCACCGCATGGAACCCCAGTGGGGAGCACCCTGAGGACC